GGCAGGACCCGACTTTTCCTTTTCATGGTCTTCCGCTCCCGCTTGTAGGCTGTGGTCATATTGGCGATCACCTGCAAAGCGGATAGCTTTGGTTGGGCTTAAAGGAGAGGTAGCTTAAAAATCAGCTCAACCATGCTGCAACTTTGATGGCAAAAGCTGTGCACACGTCAGCACCACCGGCTGCACCTCAGGGCAAGGGAGGGACCAAACAGGGACCTTCCAGCCTCATTTCAACAACCCCACACTTCCAGGAGACCTTGTGTTAAGAAAGCATTATTTAATGGCTGTGCTCAGAGTTCTCCATCAGTAGAGGGCAGAATGGGATCTAGGCTGAAGCTATTGGAAGCTCACAACACCTCCTGTTAAACCACAGCTCTCGCCCTGCTTCTCCTGCAAGCAGAACCAGTGACCCAGCCAGGGCAGAACACCTGGGCGTTGCCTAAGCAGGGCTCTGCTGCCACTGCCACAACACACCACCTGCTGTGCCTGGCAATGGGAGAAAGCCTGCAGGCAAGAGATTCCTGTGGGATGGCATCTGTCGACAGATGGGGGCTTAGCTGCAAAACCCCTTCAAGGCACTGCAAGACTTACAATTTCCTTCACCGCATTCTGCTGCTCTTGAACTGCAGCGGTGAATGGTGGGAGGCCATCTGCCTTAGCAGAGCTAACGCTCTGCTCTTTTGAGTCCTTGACAAAATCCACCTGCAAGGCATAGACACGTGGTTACTACTCCATAGCAGTGTCAGTGGCAAACCTCACACACAACTGTGCTCTCTTGCAGAGTTACCTCAGATGACAGGCACACGTATCTGTTGAACATGAGGAAGAAAGGGGTGTACTTCGTGGCAGAGTTCACCGACGTGCGGAAGTCGAAGAGCACAGGGTCGAGGTGGGCATCCCATTCACTGGGCTTCTCATTCACCACGTTGCAGATGGAGGATTTGAGCACCTCAGCACTGCGGTGATCCAGGCCCACACAGTCCACAGGGTTTGCAGGGGTGAGAATCTGGGAGATGTTCCAGCGCTCACAGAGAAGCCGGCTGACCTGCAAAGGCAGGGGGTCAAGCCCACAGGAGGACAAGGCAGGTCTGCACCGCAGCATTATGAGACAGTATGAGACAGCACTGCCTCACTGGGATGTAGCTACAGAGTGCAGGAAACAAAATACTGCTTATAATGAAAAAGACTGAAGTAGAAATCCCCCTGGCAGCATGAGGATACTACAGACGAGGGAGAAAAGTATTACTGGGCATGAAAAACTCACTAGATAAGTCAGAGCTGGAGAAAACATGTTGCAACAAATATTACAGTGCTGTGGTTTTCCACAGCACTGGCAAGCTGGGTTAATCCCAGGGTAGGGCAGAGAGTGCACAGCCATCATCTCACAGGATTTTTTCCTTCTGGGCAAAGAAGCTGCAGTGTGGCTCAAGGCTTTATACCACATAACCACAGCTTCAAATCCCAACAGCATGAAAGCAGTGGCAAAGCACCTATTGCTGGCAACAGGGCTGGGACAGGGAGATGGCAGCTTCAGCTCTTCATACCCTGTACATGGCATGTTGTAGCTCTGATCAAAAGCAAGCACTCAAGATCATGTTGTTTCTCCCTGAAACAGCCAGCACCTGACCTACCTCCTCACAGAAGTCCCAGCTCTCACCAGCATAAATGTTCTTGGATGCTCCAAACCTGAATAAGAAGAGGACACACAACTTGCTTTACTCTGCTCACCACAGGGCAGAAGCAGAGGCATTCAATCCGCACAGGAAACAGGATACAAAAGGGAGAAAGGTCCTCCAATGGAGCAGGTGCTGAAGAAGCATCTTCCGAAGCACCTCCCAAGAGCAGAGAGATCTGTTGGCTGTATCTGTTCCAAAATAGCCAACCCTGTTTGCTTTTGAATGATAAGGCACCAGAAGAAACAAGCAAAGTTTCCTGTGCAAGTATCTGCTGGCCACATGCATTTCCCACAGGGTACAGTGGCAGCAGGTACCACATGAGTGTAAAACAAACACTCTCTACAAAGGATCAGAGTACATTTTATAACTCTGTAGAGAACTGGGGCACCAGCTCTCTTGACCTTGGAGCCAAAAAGTGAACCACTTATGTTTCCTTCTCCTTTCCACTGCTAATAAGAGAATAACATGCTGTTCTCAAGGACTCTGTAGATAGCAAGAGAGGGGCACTGCACAGCCTGTCCTGCAGAAGAGTTCCTGCTCTTCTGGAGAACCATCTTGTGGACACATATTTCAACACAGTTTCTAGAGCATCCCTTATCTCACTGCAGAGCTGCAATTTAATCAAGAAGAGAAGAGCCCACCTGTAAAAAATGGTAGCTAGTGCTTTAGCCACTGACAAGGCATCTTTCTTCTGCAGAGGAACAGCCTCAATCCATTTAGTGAAGTAGTCAGTCACAATGAGGACATGTGTATTGCTCTGGCTCGTCTCAGGAAAAGGTCCTGCATAAACAAGCATTTAAAAATAAATACATAAATAAATAAATGTGATGCTGTAATATCACCCAAACAGGGAAGGTAAAAAACCAAGCCCAGAAAACAACTGCTGCCAAAAGGCAAAATACTTTTAACTCTTTTCTGCTGTCATCTAGACAGTACAGTTCTGTGACCTTCGTTAGTAACAGCACACCCATCACAGCCTCAATTCCGAGTGGTAACTCACACCCACACAACTCCCATTGTGTATGCAGTGGGAACTGTGCCAGGCATTCGGATCAGGTTGCACCCTGGTAAGCTGCTACGGCTTCCTTGGCAGTTCTTCACCACAGAGGTAGGCGGCTGTCACTCACGTGTGACCGTAAATCTGCCACACTTCCCGACAGCGGGTGCAGAAACCTCGAAGAGCTTGTGAGACAGCCACAAACACTCACCATGAACAGCTAATCCCAGCACTTCCCAGGGGGACTCCACTTTAACAGGTCTGGTTTTCCGTGATATGTTCTTGTTGTGCTCTGCGTTCTGGCATGTTTCGCACATTTTGATCTGGAAAGGGAAAAACTGTATCAAAGGATTTTAAAATACGCTGCCAAGTTATGTCAGATTCTGAACAAGTTATAAGTGGGTAAGAAGGACAGTACCTCTGTGCAGCTTCCTTCTACCCAATAAAAACAGAAGGACACAAGAAAAAGAGAACAGAAGACAACAGGCTGACACAACTCATCTCTGACAAAACTCACCAGACAGCCTTCTCTGACACAATAACTGACTTTCTCAATGCGGCCTATAGCAAAGACATTTCTTACCCTGGTTTGGGGTAAATATTTATTGCATTTTTTCTAATGGCTAGAGAAATTATCATCCCTAGGATACCAGAGGGGTACTGTCTGGACCAGGTAATGTAGCCACACTTCTCCAAAGCAGGCTTTTGCTGCAGAGCCCTGCTTGCAGGGGAATTACAATAGGTGAGGCCAAGCAGCCCAGGAGAGCTGGTGGAAACCCTGTGCTCCTCTCTTTACAGCAGTTCAGGGAGCTGAGGAGCTCTGGCAGGAATGCAGCCTGCTCAAAGCTAAACTCAGCAACGCTTTGTCTGAACCAATCTGATATTCCCACACTGGCCAAAACTGTCCTGCATGAGGATGCCTACCTGTGCAGGTTTACTGATGCTCAAGGGAAAAGACATCCAATCTATCCAGCTGCCTCAAGACGCTCCAGCAGTTTCACCTGCAGCGTGGCCCAGTGCACGGCTTCAAAGCAACAGCACCAGGAGCAACACCATCCCTGCACCAGGGCTCTGGCAGCTGCTCACTCCTGCCTGAACCTCCTGGGAAAGTCAAAGACGTTGCTCCAGACTTACCCAGTCCACCACATCCTTCACAATCCCCAGCCAGTAGTACCGGCTCTGAATGCGGTGCACTGTTTTCTTCTGGCCCAGGTGGTTCCCGATCTCGGTGAAGTGGCTCTCCAGGAAGACCTGCCGCCTGCGCTCGGGGTCCACGATCACCTCGCGCTTCTCCTCCTTCTTGGGCCCCACGTAGTACAGGCAGCCACCTGCGGGCGGGACGGCTTTGTTTCCCGTGATGATCCCACAGCCGTTCCCGTGAGGGTGACAAGGATATCTCCCAAAAGCAGCACAGCTTCGCGCTGAGCCCACACGCAGACCCAGGGACCTCACCTACGCAGACGGCCCTCCTCCAACAGAGGGTCCCAGCACCCACACAGCGCCCCAAATCCCCACGTTTCGCCCCCAAAGCGACGCCGGGATAACGGCGCGGCACCGCCGGGTTCCCTCAGCGGATCCCCCCCGCAATCCCCCGAGGGTCCCCCGGTTCCCACCATCAACGATGAATTTCTGGGCGTAGCGCTTGAGGTTCTTCCTCTTGATGGAGCAGAAGCTGGGCGGAAAGCAGCCTTCGGCCAGCAGGCGGTAAATGTCCTCGAATTTGCTGCTGGGGACGCACGGCTCGGCCGCCACCACCACCTCCTCCTCGGCCACTTGCAGCGAGGACTCCATGGCCGCCGCGGGGGCCCGGGCCGGGCGCGTGCCCGACGAGCGCCACGCGCGTGCCCGAGCGCGTGCCCGGCCTTGAGGGACGGCGGGAGGAGGGCGGGGACGCTGCCGTGCAGCGCAGGGATCGTCTGCAAAGAGCCGCCGGTCCGTGCGCGCCCCGAGGCGCGGCCAACGCCTCGCTACGGGCTGGAGATACGGGGATCGGCGGCGACGGCGTCGAGGTTGCAAAAACCGGCACGGAGAGGGAGCAGAAGAGGCGTTACGGCCGCCTCCTTTTCCCCGTTTTTCTTTCGGCCCGGAATTTTCCGACGCTCCCCCGCACCCTCCGGAAGCGCTGTGGCGGCGGACCCGGGCGCGCGCTGCGCTCCGGCGGGAAACATGGCGGCGGATCGGGCGTTCCGAGCCTGCGCCTGCTTCTTCTCCGCCAACATCTTCGTCGGGCGCTGCGGGATGCACGTCTGCTACCGCGACGAGCGGCAGTTCCGGCGGGACTACGGGCGGGTAGCGGCGGGGCGGGGCGGCGGGGTCGGCGTCGGGCTCGGCCGCTGACGGCCGTGTCGTTGCAGGCGCTGAGGGAGCGGGGCTGCGGCGGCGAGGAGCAGATGGCGGCCGTACTGCGGGAGGTGAGCGCCGAGCCGCGGGCGGGGACCGAGGGCTGGCAGCTCCTCGGTCCCTTTCCTGCTACTTATAAGAGCTCGCTTTGGTGGCTGCGCCGGAGCAGCCTCCCAGCGCCGAGCCGCCGTGTGGCGATGCTCTCGGCACAGCATCCAGTTTCTGGGGGTCCCGGCCGGCTCGGGATGCCCCGCGGGTCCATCACACGGCGGGCGGTGTGACCTCGCGGGGGGCGCAGCAGAGCAGTTGTTGCCTGAGCTGTTTGCTGTGCGGTGATGGACGAGCCTGTCCCGGCACCACTTAACGCTAATCCCTCCCGGGAAACGTCTTTGTTGCGGACAAAACTGCTCTTGTCAGGACATAAACCAGACCCAGAGCGATTCATGAGGTGTCAGAAATGCCTGAAAGGGATGAAAACTCACCGCACCCCTGACACATCCACGGAAAGACTTCACCTATTTCTTAAGCCATCCATTGTGCAAATGCGTCTCAAATCCCTCTTAGGCATCTGGGTTTTTAAATATTTACTCATCCTGTCTTGACTACAGAAAAGCAAAAGCACGCGCTCAGGCTCCCAGAGGTGCCCTGAACAAAAATAACTGCTTTAGAACAATAAGCAGATTCCCGGAGTTGTTTTAGTTATCCTCTTTGTTATCCGTTCTGGTTCTCCAGCACAACGCTCTGTTGTTTATTCCTAGATTGAAGCAGAAGTGCAGAGAAGAAAACACCTGGTTCGTCAGTCAGCGGAGCGCAAAGCCATCATCGCTCAGTGTTACAAACGAAAGCACTCAGAAGTGTACACTCTTCAGGTAGATCCTGTGTTTGAAATCTGCTTTGCACTCAAGGAATTGGCTGAGAGCTTATATTTGCAGTAGGGAGCCCTTTTATCATCAAGAGTGTGTGCAGTTCCAGAGCTGGACTGAATCAAAACCAAAACGGCTGTCACAGCCCAGCGTCTTCTCCAGGCAGGATTCTGCCAAGTGAGGGTCATTCTTTATGGAAGCTGCACCACCACCTGGTGCTGAATGCAGAATATAGTTAGTAATTGTGAGCTAACGTACCACTGCACCAACAGGGTCACTGAAGAGTAAGGGACAACCACAGAAATCAGCACAGGTAAACAACTAATTACTCTCAGCTGAAGGGTGGGAGCAGGCTGCTTGTCTATGTGTACCCCACTGAAAATGCAGCAAAGCCACCTTTGTTATGGGCTGCTCTGCTTTGAATTTCCTGATGTTTGACAGATGTGTTCCTAGATTATCAGTCACACAAAAATTCTCACAGATTTACTGCTCCATAACCCTTTAGTAACATGTTTTGCCATTGACTGTCATGATCTGTGCAGGAAAGTGCTTCCAGCAGAGCTCTGTCGTGTTAAGGCCAGGAAAAGATGGTAAATCTTGTAGAAATGTCTTTGCTTTTACCCTTTAGGTGTCTGTAATGCAAGCCAGGCTCTTTCCCATTGCACTAAGAATAAATCTGGCCAGTTATACTTAGAAATACTAATGAACTACAACTACACACAATTTACTGGTAACATTTCCTGCCACAGAAGTAAGCCAAGGGCAACTATCAGCCTTGCTCCCTAGGCTTTACATATTTTCCTGTGTGTATGTGAAAGTCTGTTTCCCTCTCAGGCTGTAAAAGACTCTGCAAGCTAATTGTGTTTCTGTTTACATTTGTCATCTTCCCTTGGCACCAGGATTCATTTCTGGCCCCAGGTTTTCTAGAAATCATTAGATACTGCACATCACCAGATGCTAATCTCCATGGCCTCCTGCGCTACACCGAGTCCTTCTCAGGTACAGAAAACAACCCATCATCAACAGAGAACACCCATGTGATGCTGCAGTTTCAGTGATGGCAGCTGTTTCCAAGCCCTGTCTTTGACAGCTCGGTTTTGATACACAGCCGGGACAAGCAGGATGTTATTTTCTGCTTGACGAGAGTCTCTGGAGAGGCAGTATTGTGCAGCAGTTATGTTGTGGATGAGATCCTGTTTTCTGCTTTTCCAATCCCAGTCTGCTGATGTCTCATCAGAGGCTCTCAGTACAGCAGGGCTGGGGTTTTGCTTGTATCATAACCTCACAAGGAGGGCTGCTGTGAAGGAACACTTAGCTTGAGGGGCTTGGTTTTCCCTCCCCAGTGCTTCCCCATTTCAGACAATTCCCTTTGGTTAGTCTGAGCTGAAATATTTTCAGTCTAGTTTTCAGCCTTTTAAAGAGATCTGTGCTTTCAGCTTCCCTGGTGGCATTTCTGAAGATCTCTCCCTGCCAGAAACACTGACAAAATTTGGAAGGGAAGCTGCAAAGTCGCCTCTTTTTCTCAAGACAAAAAGAAAGAAACAAGTGTGTGTGTACAAGGCTGCTGTTGGTTATTTTCCCAAGAAGTAGTTTCCAGGCACATTACCTTTTCACACTGTCTTTATCACAGCTCCTATATCCTTAATACTGAGCTCCCCTTAGACCTTTAGGGCTCTACCCTGAAAAGCAGCACAGGCGGCCTGGCCTTCCCAGAAAGGGAAGATGGGCTGGACAAGTAAATTCGCCATCCTCTGAATGTCCTCGAGTCCCTTTCATCCATGAGGACTGCTGTTGATTTACTGCCCTCCCTCTGCAGCTTCTGGGCCCTCAGAGCATTTCCTTGGCACCTACAGCAGGCATGTAAATCAGTACCAGGTTTCACAACTGGATGGGGAAGCCTGGAAGCAAAGGGTCAACATGAAAAATAACAAATCCATCCCAGAGCTGATCCTGAGGAACACTGCCAACTCCTTGAGCAGCCAGAGCACGAAGTGAAAAGTCTGGGTGCTGCATTCTCACCAACACCAGCATAGTCTAGGCAGAAAACACAGCCAAGAAGACTTTCATGTTATTTTCCCCAGCAAACAGTCTCACTTTTCTTGACAGATAAGCGGATCTTTCGACTCCCAGTGTTCACAGAGGAGTTCTGTCAAGCCTTTATTGAGGAGCTGGAGAACTTTGAGCAGTCAGACATGCCTAAAGGCCGGCCCAACAGCATGAATAACTATGGGGTAGGACTCATCAGCTCTTGTGCTTCATTAGGGGGAGTGTTCCTGAGCACACTGTTTACCTCCTTGCTTCACAATCCTTTCCAATCCAAGCTGTCTATAATTTGAGTGCAGCATAGTTTGAGTACAGACTCTTTGAAATGAGAGGGTTGAAGGAATGCATGTTATTTGTCCAGAGGCAAAAGGATGGGCAAAAGCAGGGAGTCGGGGTGGGATCTGATATCTCAAAGCAATGAGTACCTTGCATTTAAGCAACACATCTTTAAATCAAGCAGTATGTTTTTAAAGGACACTCAATTTTTGATCTTACTGTGTTCACTATCACTTTCTACCTTGATCCTCTTTCCTTTCCCTGTACCTGGAGCTTTTTGGTCCTTTCTTTGAGCAAGCATCAGAGTTGGAAGAGTGCAAGACAGCTCAGCAGCTGCTCTGATGAAGCAGCAGATGTACCCAGCTGTTGGTCAGCTGTTCCATCTCCTCTCTTTTGGACAGGTTTTACTCAATGAGCTGGGGATGGATGAAAATTTCATCACCCCCCTGCGTGAAAAATATCTGCGTCCCATCACAGCCCTGCTTTATCCTGACCTGGGGGGTGCCTGCCTGGACAGCCATAAGGCATTTGTTGTCAAATACTCGCTGCACGAAGACCTGGATCTGAGCTCTCATTATGACAATGCAGAAGTCACCCTAAACGTTTCACTGGGAAAAGACTTCACAGAAGGCAATTTGTACTTTGGGGATTTCAGACAGGTACTGAGCACATTCCTCATCTGGACCCAGCTTCTGTTCCCCTCTGTCCTCCAGTTTCAGGGCATTAACTATTTTCTAAAAAGCAGTTGCTCACTTCTAACAGTCAAATCCAGTCTGTCCCTTCCCCTTTTCTAAAATGTAGTGGTTAAATAAGGACCTCTACTGCTGTAAGTGAATTAGCAATATTCAAGCTAATTGCAACCAATTCAAAGAGAGGACAAACACAGCTATTCTAGTAGCAGCTGGAGTGAAGCAAACCAACCCGTCTTCCCACAAGGAAAATAATGATCAAAGAGGTGCTGAGAGGGAGAGACAGAAGTTACTTACTTCAGACGAGACTTAATTCCACATCCCCTATTTCCAGGGAATTCTAAACAAGGGAGGGATTAGAAAACCCCACACTGGTGAAACTAGTTTGTTGTTGTTTTGTTTGCTTTTTTTTTTTTTTTTTTTTAATTGAAACTGCCTTTAAGTTCCCTCTGGACCTGGCACTGAAAATGGCTTACAGTGACTGAAGTCGTTGAACTGTGGGTGAAGAAAATTCAACTACTTGAACACTGTTCTTTTAAGGACTTTCTGATGTAATGCCGTATCTACCTCCCTTTGTTCCAGGATCCTTCCCCTGTGCCAAACTACATAGAGGTGGAACACGTGGGAACCCAGGGGCTGTTGCACCGAGGAGGGCAGATCCACGGGGCGCTTCCCATCGCCTCGGGGGAACGCTGGAACCTCATCATTTGGATGAGATCATCAGCCATCCGCAACCAGCTGTGTCCCATGTGCAACCAGAAACCCCAGCTGGTGGAGGCAGGGGGATTTGGAGACGGGTTCACAGAAACCTGTGAAGAAGACGTGCCTGAGACCGTGGATCTGTGCTCGGTGTGGTAGCAGGTGGGGCATGCCTTCTGCAGAACAGATTGCCTCCAGCTGCTTTCTGCCTTCTCGGACCGTGCTGACAGCCTCGGGAGGACGCTGAGTCATTTAAGAGGGAGCTGTCACCGTGCAAGGTGACACCAAACCGGTCCTGCTGGGAAGCCAGCTGCTCCCACTGCTGCTGCGAGGGCTGGCGAGGGCACGCAGCCACATCGGAGTGCTGGAGGAGCGCGGAGACATGCAAAGCCCCAGCAGTCACTGCAAGGACTGCCGATACGTTCAGGTGTGCAGCACAGACCCCGACGCTGCTTTTCATCTGCGGAGACGCGTGTGCCGGCGGGCGGTGCGCTCCGCGTGTACGTGGGAAAGAGCAGTGCAATAAACGCCCACGTGCACCGCTTGGCGCTGTTCGCAGAAGCTCGCAGGGACGCTTCGCAACCGCCGCGGGAGGAGGAATGGCAGCCTGAGAGCCTCCGCCCGCAGCCCAGCGGCAGAAGCGCTGCGCTCTGGCTACCGCGCTCGGTGTCCCCGCGCCGTGAGTGGCTCCGCGAGCGCTTCGCTGTCGGTTCCGCCGAAACCCGGAACCACGGAGGGCGGCGCAGGGACCCGGGCGGCGCCTTGTGAGTGAGTGACCGGAAGTGAGCGGGGGAGACCGGAAGTGAGGTCTGGGGCTGTAACGGCGGCGCGGCGCTCGGTGCGCGCGGCGAGGCCCGGGGACTACGGTGAGCGCGTGCGCGTGGCGGCGGCGCGGAACGGCGGTCGAAGGGCCGGGGTGCGCGCACCTCTTAAAGGGACAGCGCGCATCTTAGACCCCTTTGGCATTCCCAGTCGGGGCGTAGCGCTGACCTCTCTCCGCAGGCCCCGGCTCACCATGGCCCGCGGGCGGTCCCGGAAGCGGTCCCGGAGCAGCAGCAGCCGCAGCCCCTCTGGGAGCGGACGGGAGAAGCGCGGCGCGAGGAGCGGTGCGGCCTCCCCGGGTCCCCGGCACCGGCCGAGCTCTGCGGCCGCCAGGGAAGGTAGGGAGGGCCCTGCCCCCGCGTTCCCCTTCCTCCCCTCCCCCTCCCCCGTGTTGCTGTGCTGAACTCCCACTGTGTGTTGCAGGAAGGAAGAAGGAGGGTAGGAAGAAAAAAAAGAGGAAGGCAAACGCTTCGTCCTCTGACAGTTCGTCCTCCTCCCGCTCCTCATCATCCTCCTCCTCCACCTCCTCCAGTGACAGTGACACCAGAGCGAAGCGGCATGGCAAAAGGAAGCGAGGGAAACACAAAGACAAGAAGAAGAAGAAGAAGATAAAGAAGAAATTGAAGAAGTCAAAAGAAAGAGTTAAGGAGGACAGAGGTGTGAGTGAGGCACTGCCCGGCCCTTCACTGGAGCTGTGGCAGAAGGAGCCACAGGTCGACCCTGGGCCAGGTAACTCCGGGCTGAGGAATGGCTGCTGCCTCCCTGGTCGGGTTGGGGTTGGGCACAGAGGGGCACCTGGCTCTTCTCCCTCTGTGGCCCACAGCAGTGAATGTAAGGAGCCATGCTTGTGAGTTCATTGATAAATTTCATTCTGATTTGTGAATGTGAGCTGGGAACAAAGATGCTGGATGAAAGGATGCTGTCAGCAGTAACAGAAGTGACAGCCAGGTTGGATGGGGCTGTGAGCAACCTGGTCTAGTGGGAGGTGTCCCTGCGTATAGCAGGCAGTTGGAACTGCATGATCTTAAATGTCCCTTCCAACCCAAACCATTCTATGATAAAGTTGTTGCCCACATTCATCTGGGATGTGAAGCACACCCAGACTGTCCCTTGCGTGGTTTTTTGTTAAACCACCAGTATCTGGTGCTGTGTTCCTGTCTGCTCCCCGCAGACTGGTTCTGCCAGCACAGCTCTGACTCATGGACACGTTCCAGTTTTGACAGATGAGCAGAAGTCCCGAATCCAGGCTATGAAGCCAATGACAAAGGAGGAATGGGACGCGAGGCAGAGCGTTATCAGAAGAGTGGTGGATCCTGAAACAGGGAGAACCAGGTATGGCTGCTTTGGGCAGAAGAGAGGTGATGGATCCATCGCCATTGCTATCCAGGTTGAATGGGATGGGATACTGGAAGATGTGCAGTGCTGCCTGGAGTCAGGTCCCCCTCAGCAGCAAAATCTGCCATGCAGATCCTCTCCATCAAACCTGCTGTAGCTTACCCTGAAAGTGGCAATTTTATACCGAGTTTCAGAGCTGCAAAATGCTATTCTCACCTACAGGTGCCCCAGCTCCAGTTAGCATGCAGATGTAAGTGGGGAGGGAGTGAGTATGTTCCCCTTGGAGTTACAGACAACAGACTGAAGTCCATATAGCTGCCAAGTGGAAATGACCCAGTTTGTAATAAGCTGCATCTTCCAGCAAACAGAAAAAATCATGGTGAGGAGAATTGGGTATGACAAGTCCAGTCTTAAAATAGAAGGCAGCCTGCGGGACTTAGGGAGGTGTGGAACAAAGGTCAGTTCCATGTAAAGCACGTAATGAAGACATTTAAATTCCTATTCATGCTAGGGGTTGTGAGCTGCCTTTGATAATGCTGGAAATGTGCTTGGGTGAGATGTCCTGATCTGGCTGCCTTCCAGGCCAAAACTGGCTCGTGTTTGAACAGCCCTGCAGCTCCCTCAGGCAGTCAGGAGCAGACCTGAATTCAGTTAGGGGGGAAAAAAAAAAAGTTTTGCAGAAGCTGAGTCCACTGCTGCTGACAGTGAAGCTTCTGCAGATGGTGGGCTGGCAGGAGATTTTTCTATTACAGGTGTTTTCTCCTGCAATGTGCAAGTGTGACTGGCTCAGTACATAACAGATGCAGGGCCCTCAGCCTTGGACAGGGCTAGTTGGTCCTGCAGGGGGATGCTGCTTTCTCAAGGGACCACAGCTGTGCTGGCTGCAGCTTGCTGATGCTCATCACATAAGAGCAAGGGACAAACCTGCCGTGCTAAGTTTGATATGGCAAAAATGATGTGTTGTGGTTTAACCTGGCAGGTTGCTAAGCACCACATGTTTGTTCACTCACTCCCCTCCTTCTCAGTGGGAAGAGGGAGAGAAACAGGAGAAAGAAAACAAGGTAGAACTCTTGGGTTGAGATAAAACTATTTACTAAGAGAAAAGGAAAAGGATAATAATTATGACAAATACATATAAAAGTATATATAACAAGTGATGCACAAGCAATTGCTCACCACCCCCTGACTGATGCCCAGCAATGAGAGAGAGGTGAACTCCCACCCCCTTCCAAAGTCCTTCCTCTTGATGCTGTGTGGTATGGAATTACCCTTTGGCCAGTTTCAGTCAGCTGTCCTAATTCATTTCCCTCCCAGCTCCTTGTGCCCTTTGCTGAGAATGACCTTGGCTCTGTACAACACTGTTTAGCAGACACTATAAACATCAGTGTGTTATCAGCGTTGTTTTTCTCCTAGAACCAAAATATATCATTATACCTGACGCTCTTAAGAAAAATCCATCCATCCAGATGAAACTAAGACAAGATGGCACCTGATAGAGCTTCAAGGGTTGGGGCAGTCACTGGGCTAGCAGAGGTGCACCAGCCCAGCTCCTAGTTCTCATGTATCTGTCCCATACGTTACTGGAGCATTTTGTTCAATTTTGTTTTCCTGGCACATATTGCATGGGGCAGGGGGAACCAGCGTGACTGGCAGACAGCCCTCACACCTCATGGTCCTGTGCTTGTCTTCCAGGCTTATTAAGGGAGATGGAGAAGTGCTGGAGGAAATCGTCAGCAAGGAGAGACACAAGGAGATTAACAAGGTACTGGGGCTGATGGTTGGGTTGTTTTGTTTCTCAGGGGGGCCCCACCAGGGCAAAGAGTCCTGGCAGCCCCACGGAGGCACCAGCCAGTGAGTGCTGTGGTCTACTGTCCCGGTAAAGGCTGTGCTCTGAGTGCCATCTCTCCTCTTTCAGCAAGCCACCCGTGGGGATGGGCTGGCCTTCCAGGTGAGAACAGGGATGCTGCAGTGAGCCTGTGCTGTAGCTGTGCTGGAGACTTGTCCTGCTGCGGGCACAGCCCTGGCGCACTGATGAGCTGGACCTGCAGGCAGCACTGCATCGGTACGCTTCCCTGGGGCAGTGCCATTCAGTCTGTAAGTTACTGCCTGGGAAGGAGAAAGACCTTAATGGTTCGTCTCCCATTAAACAGCTTCTCTCCTTCCTCTCATAACTGGGGCCAGCATGGCTGTAATGCTGCTTGCCCTTGTGACCCTTTTAAGGCCTGAGGAGCTCAGCAGCACAGAGATGCTGATGCCTTATCTCTGGGCTTTTGTTGGCAGGAGCTGGCACAGGGTCTGCAGCAGGGCTGCAACACTGACAGCTGCGTCTTCCCTTCAGGGTCTGCTTTCGGTCCCTTTTGTGCTGCTCTGTCTGCCCCACATGCTGAGAACCTGGGGACAGGGGTTTTGTTCACCCATTGTGTGGAGAAGAGCCTTTGCCTCGCTCTCTTCCTGCCCTTTCCTGCAGTGTGGCAGCAATGCTGTCAGCAGCTTGGGGGCCCACACCCACAGTAACACAAATGCCTGTTGTTTTCCCCCACTGCAAAGTCCATACATCTATGAACTTTAAAATAATAAAATAAAAGTGGTTATAGGACAAATGAGTGACGCAGGACTGCTCTGCACAGATTTCCATGCTCTGTTTGTTGCTCTAACCCCCATTAAAGTGGCGCTTGCTCACGTCCTGGGCTTTGTGACTTCTGTTTCAAGAGCTTCCCAAATAAGCAGACGGAGACGAGCCTTCCCGTTTCTTTAATCTGTGTAACTCACAATGATACTGCACACAAAGCACACCCAGGCATTGGGACGATGCACTAACAGCAAGGAGGAGAAGGAAGTTGTACAGAAGGTTTGTCACACACAAGCAAGGCGTCTGCACGGCGCTGTAGACGCGGCGCTGTGCCCTCTGGTGGTTCCCCACACACCCACCTGTCGCTCCCCCAGAGCAATTTTTTGTAAATAAAATAGAATTAACATCGTTGAATATAAAACCGACAGTCGAGGGTATCAACAGGCAGAGAGGGTGCTGAGGATGGGGAAGGGACCGTAAGGCTTCTAGAACTAATAGGAAATGCAGCAAAGTGGCAATACCTGAAGAAGGGGCTGCTACAGCAAGCACGGCGGCTGCTGGCGGAGCGGCGGCGGCGGTGAGCCTTTGGCTGGTTCCTGTGCTCGGCTCGCGGATCGGACACTGTAAACGTTTTTGGTATGAGAATTTCACCTCATCTGACGGAGTGAGCAGCCCAGGAAAGTGACTCGGAATGAACGCGTGGGCTTTTTTTCTTTATTAATTAAAAAATTAAGATTTTAAAGGGACAGCGTCAGGTACAAAGTCTGGCCCAATTGTTTGGGAGTACAAAAAGCTGCTTGTTAGAAAAATCTGAGCTCCACGGTGGAGTTTGATACTGATGGAAGCAATGGAAAAAAGAGAGGAAAAGGAAAACAAAAAAAAAAGAGAAGCCTAAGGCAGCCTGTGCAGGGTGTGCTGTGTTGTGCAAGTGTGGGAACAACATGGGCTGAGCACTGCCCAAAAGCCAGAGGGAGGAGGTCAAGAAACTCTTCACAATCTTATTTCAATGCAAATGAGTTATTTGTAACAAAGATAAATTAGGTCTTTAACCTGACAGTGCCCCTTTAGTAAGGATGGAATATAC